GTCCACATCTATCTGGTCCCCTTGGTACTATAGGACTCAACTTAGTGACTCTCCTTTCCCAGCGAAGCATCCCTGTCCATCATCAGGTCTGGGATTAGGGCTGCTTCTCTAGAGAGGAAAGGTCCTGTGTCTTCTGTGCTTTGACAGCCACAGCTGGCAGAGTGGACGCACCTCAGGAGACCTCTGTCCCAACTGAGTTTGTGCCACCCGGTCACACATAGGTGTGACCATACACACATAGGTGGTGTGGACAGGCCACTTGTCATGTCTAGACCTCAGTTTCTCCATCTGTAAGAGGAGTGTCCTTTGAGATCTATTCTAGCTCTAGGTCTTAAAGGGGTACTTTAAAGCCTGGTGACCTTGGACCTGAAATTTGAGCAGGCCTGTTGGACTTCAAACTTGCAATCACAGGAAGCTGCTCAAGGGATCCGTGAGGACTGAGCTCAGGTGCCGGCTTCCCCGGAGCTACCTGCCCTTAACCTCTTGGTTTGTTGCAGAAAGCGTCAAAACTGCAAACAGTCTCTACGAAGCCAGTCTACATCCCCAGGGTGGAGCTGGACCATGAGCTGATCAAGGGTGTCTACCAAGGTGCCTTAGAGGTCAATAACCAGCTAAGGCAGTCCCTGGCACAGTCCCAGGAGAAGAAGCCCGAGGAGCCCATCAGCTCAGGTAACTTCAGCAGCAACCACACAGAGCCCTGAACCCGGCGGGTCTCTGCCTCGGAGTGGGAGAGGGGGCATGGTCCAGAGCTTGGGAGCAAGTTTCAGAGGTCCTGAAACAGCTGCCTGAGATTAGAGGAGTCTCTGCTTCATCCTGACATCAAGCCATCCTTTTACAAAGACTTGGGGGCTCTAGGATCTGATGGGACTCTTTAAATGGGCTTCTTTTTGTCTGATCTTGAGGCCAATTCAGATGGGTTTTAAATGGGTGCTGGCTGGGTTGTCAGTGTGTTTGGTGGGGAAGTGGCTAGTTTGGGGGGGGGGTCAAAGAAACTGGAATTCCCCCTTGACACCACTTTTCTTCCCCCATATCCAATCCATAGCCAGATTTCACCTCTTTTTGAACTCAGGGGCACTCAACCACTGAGCCACATCCCCAGCCCTATTTTGTATTTTATTTAGAGACAGGGTCTCACTGAGTTGCTTAAGGCCTCGCTTTTGCTGAGGCTGACTTTGAACTCATGATCCTCCTGCCTCAGACTCCCAAGCTGCTGGGATTACAGGCATGTAGCACCGTGCCTGGCCTGTGCCTATTTCTTGTTTGGAAGTGTCCTGCTGTGCCCAAAGCAGAGCCTGGTACATAATAAATCTCCATTGTATAATCAGGGTTGGGCTTGAACTCTAGCTTGGCCAGCTGAACATCCTTGCAGAAGAAATATCAAACAGGTGATGGCGAGGCTGCTTCGTGGAGGTTATTTGTTGGGGCCAAAGCTGTTGAAGCCTGGTCTGCAAGAGGAGGGAGGGGAGAGAGGAGAACTAGCAGGCAAGGAACTAATGCTGACAGAGACTTCACTACCTGCTAGGAGCTGTGGTCTCACCACGAGTGAGCCGGAGTCATCCCCATTGTCAAAGCTCAGAGAGGTCTCAGAGGTCGTAGAGATGGGTGATGGTGAACAGCCTTCACCTCCGCTACATTTTAAGCAGAGAAAAAGAGGGAACACACAGAACTGCTCCTTCTATTACCTTTTTATTCTCTCTTGCAAGTAATTGGATGAGGAAGTCAGAAATGGCTGGTTATGCTGGGTGCCATGATGCACGTCTGTTTCCCAGCAACTGGGGAGAACGAGGCAGGAATATCGCAAGTTCCAGACCAGCCTCGGCAAGGCCCTGTCTCAAAAAATTAAAAAGGGCTCTGTAGCATGTGCCTGTAATCCCGGGGGATCCGGAGGCTGAGGCAGGAGGATCTCAAATTCAAAGCCAACTTCAGCATCTTAGCGAGGCACTGAGCAACTCAATGAGGCCCTGTCTCTAGATAAAATATTTTTAAAAAGGGCTGGGATGTGGCCCAGTGTGGTTAAGGGCCCTTGGGTTCAATCCCTATTATCAAGAAAGAAGGAGAGAAGGAGGGAAGGAAAGACTGGCTGGCTGTGTAAATGCTCTCTTCTCCCTCCATGGCAAAGTTGGCTTCTGAGGTTGGGGTGGGAGGAGGAGCCACATACATTCAGTCCTTCTCTGGCACAGATGACTCTGGAGACCATGGCACCCAGTCTACAAACAAGCCCTCGAACCCTGGGAAGAAGTCCTCACGTAAGTAGCCCCACCTGGTTCCTGGCGTCTGCATGGCTGTGACTGGCTGCTGCTTTGGCTGACACAGGGGTCATCACTCCTTCCAGATGGCCGTAGCTCATTCCACACCACCACAGGGCCTGGGGCCTCTGTTGGATACAAGTTTGGCTACAGACCCAGAGAAAGGGCAGTGCAAGGCTGCACTGCTGCAGGAGTGCTCTTGGGCCAGGAAGGAGGGCTTGTCCACCTGCAGTGGATATTTGGGCTGTCTGGAATGGAAGGTTACCAAAGCGAGGGTTTGTTTAAAAACATGGGCTACACCCAAGTCCGGGCCTCTGGGCAGAGCCCTAGAGGAGATGAGATGGACCGTGTCCTGAGGAGCAGAGGAAGCCATACCTCTCTCAGTCTTTGCTCGGTAATATGCTTCAGCTGTTTTAGCATTTCTTGCCCCTTTTCAATATTGCCCCTCTCCTTCTCCTCCACTGAACCAATTTGGAAAAATGACAGAATGACCCTCTAGAAAATTTTCAGAGCCATGGAAGTTAAACTCAAGAATGAATTGAAGTTCTTCTATGTTGAAAGCGGCTCAGAATAAACTGGCTGATGTGAGGGACTAGGTAGGGAGAGAGCAGACCTGTCACTGCGTGTAAAAACACCTGAGAGAGGTGACTATCAGGAAGGAGCCTGTGCCTTAGGCTGCGTCCCAAGGTGCTGGTCTTTTGGGAGTGGGTTGGGGAGGGGTAGAGGTGAGGAAATGGGGCTCCTGAGAGAGACTGAAGTGTGTGGGGAAGGGGGCATGGAGCCATGTGGGGCCCAGGGGATCTGGTGGGGGTGGGAGTGGGGGGGTGGAAGCCATCCGGAGAAGCTCAGCCTGTCTGTATGTAAAGTATCCCTGGCAGTATTTTCCAGTGATGGGCAAGGTGACAGAGGGATGGATCCTTCTAGAAGCCCACTTGAATGTGCTCTGGAATCACTTGGGGCTTGCACACCACAGATGGCTGGGTCTCACCCCTGCCTGCCCTTTCTTGCGGGTCTGGGGTGGGGCCCAAGATTTTGCTGGCGTTTTTTACAGGATACTAGGTGACACAGGTACTGCTGGTTTGGGAACCACACATGGAGAATCAGGGTTTCAGTCCACTCATTTCCTATAGGCATACACTCCAAATATTTTTTTTTTTTTTTAGGTGTAGATGGACACAATCTTTATTTATTTTTATGCAGTGGTGAGTGAGGATCAAACCCAGCCCCTCACATGTGCTAGGCAAGTGCTCTACCACTGAGCTACAACCCCAGCCCAAATATTTTTAAAAGACTGTTGTGATATTTGATAAGTTTTTATTTTGAACTGACTTCTTGTTTCTTTGTTATTTTAAGCTGTAGATAGACACAATACCTTTATTTTTATGTGGTGCTGAGGGTAAAACCCAGTGCCTCATGCATGCCGGGCAAGCGCTCTACCGCTGAGCTACAACTCCAGCCCCTTAATTTTTGTTTTGTTTTTGCAATACTGGGGGGTTGAACCTAGTGGCACTCTTGTCACCAAACCATACCCCCAGCCCTTATTTATTTATTTATTTTGGTACTGAGGATTGAACCCAGGGGCACTTTACCACTGAACCACATCCCCAGCCCTTTTTTATGTTTTATTTACAGACAAGGTCTTACTTAAGTTGCTTAGGGGCTCACTAAGTTGATGAGACTGGCCTTGGAACTTGCCATCCCCCTGTTTCAGCCTCCTGAGAGTATAGACTAGATTATTTAGAGACAGGGTCTTGCTAAGTTGCTGAGGCTGGCTTTGAACTCATGATCGTCCTTCTTCAGCTCCTGAACCACCGTATTTACAGGTGTGCACCACGATACCCAGATCTTTAAAAAAGTAAAACATCCCAGCTTTATTTGAAGTGTTATGGCATTGTGCTTTAAGATAGATCAATTGCGAAATTATCTTTTTCAGAAGAAAAGAAAACCAAGAAACCCAGTAAGTTGGGTTCACCCCACGCTGGACCTGACACTGGCGCTACTGCTGCCTCTGCCTCGTCCAGCCAGACTGTCAGATTCGGAGCCCCTGGACAGTCGGTGGAAATGAAATCATCCCCGGATGGTGCGTTATCGTGTCCAAGGGCCAGTGGGGTGTCTGCTCTGAATTTGCTCTGAAAACTGCTCTCTGTTTCCTCTCCCAGATGCAGCCAAAACCACCACCTTGCCAAGTGCCGTGACCATCAAGACCAAGGTGCTGGAAAACTTCTTAGCCAAGACCAGATCTGAGCTCTTAGAGTGTGAGTAGCTTGGTGGTGGGAACGCAAGAGCCGGTGAGGGGGTGGGTGGGTGGTGGGGATCCAACAATCTAATAGGTAGTATCAGGGGAAGATCTAGGAGTGAGAGCTTGAGGGGACCCCTCGTAATTCCCAGCTTGGGGGGGTGTCTTCTCAGATTTTGTTAAGGTCATCTTGGACTACAACACCGCCCACTACAAAGTGGCTCTGACCGAGAACTACACCACCGCCTCCGTGGCCGACGTGCCCCAGAAGTACCGGCCACACCCCCAGCGGTTCACCTACTGCTCTCAGGTGCTGGGTCTGCACTGCTACAAGAAAGGGATCCACTACTGGGAGGTGGAGCTGCAGAAGAACAACTTCTGTGGGGTGGGCATCTGCTATGGCACCATGGACCGCCAGGGTCCCGAGAGCCGTCTGGGCCGCAACAAAACCTCCTGGTGCGTGGAGTGGTTCAACAACAAGATCTCCGCCTGGCACAACAACACGGGGAAGACGCTGCCCCCCACCAAGGCCACGCGGGTGGGCGTGCTCCTCAACTGTGACCACGGTTTTGTCATTTTCTTTGCTGTCTCTGACAAGTTCCACATGATGTATAAATACGTCGTGGACTTCACCGAAGCTCTGTACCCGGCCTTCTGGGTGTTCTCGGCGGGTGCCACGCTCTCTATTTGCTCCCCAAAGTAGGCAGGCCCTTGGGCTGGCTGCCCGAGGAGCACCCAGGTGGGACTCCTTGGAGAACTTCCCCGAGTTCCCTGGGAGGATGGGGAGGGAGCGGGTGGGAGGGTGGGAGATGGGATGGGAGGAAGGAGGTAGCCAGGGGAAGAGGGTGGGGTGATTGTGTTGTGGACAGGAAGCTTTTCCTTCTACTTCCTGGTGCCCATCTGGGCAGGGCCACCTCCTTCGGACTGTTTCAGGACATCTCCAGGCTGAGGGGGAACCTGGGCAGAGTTTTGGGAAGTCAAGTCATTCGTGCCCCAATTGCTCTTGCGGAAGACATATATATATACTACTCATGGCAGTTTCCTTCTTAGGCCAGGGGCTGACTCTTGCTCTCTGGGGTAGCCTTCTGTCTTCTAGAGTCATTGAATTTCGATATATATATATATTTTTTTTTCTCTTTTCAGTGCTAGGGATTAAACCCAGAGCCTGGCACATGCTAAGCCCAGGTTCTGTCACTGAGCCACACACCCAGGCTGAATTTCAACATTATGTTCTGTCGGCTCTCTGCATGTTGGGCTCTGTCTCCTGACTGTTATCTGTGCTGGAGGGAAACCATGGGTAGCCGGTCTCCACCTGGACCAGAGTTTCCCAGAGAAATAGTGGTTTCCCTCCCGTGAAGGACAGCCCTGCTTCCCGCCTTATCATGTTCCCTTCATGACCCCATCCGTGATTTTAAAATCTTCATTTGAGGGCTGGGGGTGGGGCCCAGCATGAGAGCACTTGCCCCTGGGTTTGATGACCAGCACCCCCCAAAAAAAGTTCAGTTGAACAGCCTGTGTTGAATTTGTGATTGAGGGAAGGTCAAGGTGACCCAGATCTACTTGGAATGGATATCGCTTCCAGCCTTAACAAGGGACATCTGGTCAAAAGCTTTGGCTGTTGCTACAGAGCCTTGCTGGAGGCCTTGTTTCCTCCAATGGCCTGGGCTACACGGCAAGACGGACCCTGGCCTGGGTTAACAGAGGTGGGGTGGCTTGGCTCTTACTACGGCGTCTTGCCATGACAGCTCTCCTTGGCAGTAGCGTTCCCTCCCCCACAGTGTAGACATTGGACTGCCTGCTGCAGATGCCACTGTGGCTAGCTCAGCCACGCACCCAGCCACAGCAGGCATCTGAAGTCCGCCACCATTCAGGCCATGCATGGCTGCTGCATGGATCATACTCAGTCACCTGTTGGGGTGGCTATCTATGACCAAACGGCCTTTTAGCAGGCCCAGCAGGAGATGGCAACATTCCCATTTATTCCTGGCCATGGGCTAGAGACACAGCTCTGGCCCTCTCCTCAATCCTGTTGTTGACCTTGGTTCCTTCTGCTGTCTTCCTCATTTGAGCCCATTCCAGATACTCAAATTGACCAGGTTAGAGGTCAGGAAGACTTGTTTGAGGATCAGGGGAGGAATGAGCTAAAGAGGGTCAGATAAGTGGCTATTTTCCCTGCAGTGTTTTATGCAGTGAAAATAACCCAGTACATTAAAGGGCAGGAGTGAACGGATTTCAGAATTTCCCCCAAACTCCTTATATCCTGCTGTCAGGATGGAAGTTTCGACCCAAAAAATGTGAGGGGAGCTTCCTGAGTCTGGCTTCTTAAGAAGTTGTCATTGGGGAAAATAGGGACTCCAGACCTTATATATAGATATTTGAGAATTTTAACACATCTCAGGCCTTGTGCTGGAATTCCTGGGAGACTCCGAGCAGCACTTGAGATTCCTGACAGATGTATGATCCATCATCTCCCAATGATCTCCATTCCTTGGGAGAAAAGATAATCATCTTAGGGAAGATATCCTTGCCATAGCTGGTATGTGTGACTTTCAAAGTTTTCTTACTGGCTGGGCATGTTGACACATGCCTGTAATCCCAGCGACTTGAGAGGCTGAGGAAGGAGGATTGCAAATTTGAGGCTAACTTTAGCAACTTAATGAATAACTTAGCAAGACCTCAGTAACTTGGCAAGACCTTGTCTCAAAGTAAATGAGAAGGGCTGGGGGTATAGCTCAGTGGTAGAGCACCCCTGGGTTCAATCCCTAGTACCCTCCTCCCCCCCAAAGAAGTTTTCTTCCTTGCTACGTAGAAGAAAAGTTCTTTGATGCTTCTCTACTTCAAAGGTGTTCACAAGTATCTTTGTTGATCTGGAGTCAATGCATACTTGAGAAACAGCTGGGCTCAGAGGAGTAGAAAGTGCAAGAGGAATCCAGGACTCCTGCTAGGGCTCTCCTCTGCAGAAATGAGGGGGCGCTTCATGGCAAATGAGCAGCAGGAGTCCCTCTGCACGAGAGCCATCTAGGTGACTAGTGCTTAGCTCTGTGCAAGGTCGTTGGAGATGTGACCTGAGGAGTGCCTGTTAGCTGTCCTGACCCACCCACTCCATTTGCTGTGGTAAAACTTTACATTATCCAGCCTTGCGGGCCCACTGCGTGCACTGAAGACCCTAGAGTGGGAGGAACTTTTGTATCCATCTATCTTCTCATTTTTCAGAATAAGATGAGAAGGTAGCGGATGACTGTTCTGCGTCTGTACCATTCCATCGTGGAGGAAATAACTCCTCACCTGTGTGATGGGGAAACCCTGGTATCCTGCAGAAGTATCCAAAATTCCCAGAAATACTAACATGAAATCAAAATCCTATCTTAGTCGGAGATACTGGGAACTGGCCTCCGTGATCACCCTGGTCATGAAAAACCAAAGGTTAAGGTCAGGTCTTTGTGTTATTCAAGACTGCCTGGCCAGTTATGTCTGTTTTAATTACGCTTCAATCAAACTGTGATCTGTATCCAATACTGATATGTTATCTCTTACCTGACTCCCCCACATCCTTACTGATTTTAATTAATGTCTGTCGTTTTTTTGAAAAAAATTTTAGTTGGTTCTTTTTATGTGTGTGGGTGGGTGTTAGGGATTGAACCCAGGGGCACTTAACCACTGAGCCACATTCCCAGCCATTTTTACTTTTAATTATGGGATAGGGTCTTGGTAAGTTGCTTAGGACCTTGCTATGTTGCTAAGGCTGGTCTTAAAATTTTGATCTTAATGCCTTGGCTTCCTGAGTCACTGGGATTACAGGCTTGTGCCACTGTGCCCAGCTTTATTTGATTCTTTAAGAAAATACAGGTAGGGGACTGGGGTTGTGACTCAGTAGTAGAGCACTTGCCTCATACCTGTAAGGCCCTGGGTTCAATCCTCAGCACCACATAAAAATTGTGTCCACCTACAATTAAAAATTAAAAAGAAAATACAGCTATAAACGGGGCTGAGACAGGCTGATGCGTCTTAGAAATTTTGAATGCAATAGAGTGGTGTTTGGTGTGTATTTTCTCGAATCTTGGTGCAGACAGGTAAAAAACAATCCTTGTCCATCATGCTGGACTCAACAGATGATGTGTACCATGCCTGAAGGCTACCACCAAGTGGCCCATTTGTCCAGATTCCACCCAGCCACTCCCAGACCTCCGAGGCCTGGATAAAGAGTTCTCAGACTGACAGAATGTCTGATCTCCGCTTCCGGAGAATGCCAGGATCAATGAAAGAATAAGCCACACAAGAAAAATGGGCGAATGGTGTTGCGAATGGAGGGCTCACTGTTTTCTTCTTTCTACTGTTGCCTACATTTCAAAAAATTGCGTAATAAAAAGTGAAACAGAAAACAGCCCAGATCATTTTGCAAGCCCTGTTTTAGTGGGTTTTAACCTTGTTTGGGTAGGAGGTGTGCATTCGAAGTTATTGTATATTAAAGAATTTAACTGGCTTTTCTTCCTGGTTACTCAGAGGAGGGGTTTGAAATCTTTGGAATTTTCTGAGTAGGAGGAGTGTCTGTTATTCCCGAGCCGCTGGGATGGCACCTGAGTTTGTACTAAGAAATGAGATGACTCAGGATTTGATGAGAGGGTTGGGCCCTTGAGCCAGCTGACTCAAGGAGGGGAGGGCAGGGCAGGGGTCCTGGGGATAGAGTTCAATCATGTGGCCAATGATCCAGTGATTTACTCAGTCCTCTACCTACATAATGGAATTCCAGTAAGATACCTGGACACAGATGCTCGGTGGACTCCCGGGTTGAGCACCTGGCTGGGCTGGGAGGATGAGGGGCCCTGATTCCATGAGGACATGGCAGGGAAACTTTGTAGTTGAGACACTCCCAGACTTTGCCCTGTATTTTTGTCTGGTTCTGATTTGTCCTTTATAAATAAAAATGTAATACATATAATGCTTTCCTGCTTCTGTTGTTACTCAGCCCTAATCTTGTACTGCCTAGGTGAGCCAGCTGAATTTCTGCCCCCTCTATCATCTTTTTTGAGGAACGGATACCTGTGTTCTAGTCCAGGCTCTATGGGCAGTGACCAAACAGACTCCATTTTACCCCGAGACT